CAGATACTGTAATCAAAAAAAAAAAAAAAATATAATGTTGTTAGTGGATGCTATCATGTATAGTATGATGATGATGTTTGTGAAGGGAACTTCCGTAGTGAGCACACCGCTCACACATTTTTTTAATAATTTTTTTTTTTAAATTTGTTTTCATCAAATTTATTATCATCAATTTAATTTTAATTTTGTTTGCACAAGTGCTAATTTAGCAGTGTGCTTAAATAAAGTTTATTTATTATTATCATCAATTTAAATAATAACACAACATCTAACATCGATAATGTTACAATTAAATCGAATCGAAAAGTTACACTTTTAATGATTTAACAAATAGAATTGAGAAAACAATACATCTTAATACATTCATCTAATTGTATTGATACAAATCAATACAATTAATATTGATAATTCATAACATTCACAACATCATTTTGATCATCAATCAATTGAAAGTTCATCATCAATTGATGTTTATCTATCATGTATTTTTGATTATAGCGAAGAATTATTAGGTAATAATAATTAAGATAATTGTTATAAAATGGTTTTATTTTATTTTATTCATTTGATTTTATTGTAGCAGTCTAGGATCATTTACAAAAATTTTAATTTTTATTGGTTCACACTTTTCACTAATAATAGTGAAAATTGCGTCATTTCTCAATTATCAATTGGTTGATGGATAATTGAGAAACTTCTACCGTGCGGTCGTCTTTCTCCTGAATCCATGTTTTGTTTGGTTTTGGTATCATTATTAGAATCAACTGAACAAAGTGACGCTTTACGAATTCACATTCGAAAACAAACAGGTGAAAAACCATATAGAAATGTCTATTGGAATATATTGTTTCTATATCACAATCGCCTATTCTGCTTTTCTGGCCTTAATCTATCCTCTCGAATCATCATCGTCTATACCTTTACCACCTGTGATATGTAAATTTATTTTATGATTATTCTGATTATTATTATCATTGTTAATTTATTTATTTTTATTTTTTTAAAATTATTTTATTAATGATGATGATCTTAATTTATTGACTATTATTGTAATTTCATTTCATTTCATTTAATAAAGATAATTATTAAAATTGAAAATTGAAACAAAAAACTTTACTTTTGACAACACCTTGATATCTTTTTGATTCTTTGTTTTGTTGTTGTTGTTGTTGATAGTTTTATGAAACGAAAAAAAATTTTTGCTATTTTTGTTTGTGATACAATGGGGATTGGGAATTGAATGCGAAAAATTTTAAAAATTTTGAGTCAGCGCCATCTGTTGATGTAAAAAAACTAAAAACGTTTATTTTTCCTTTTCCGAAAATCAAAACGGCAAGTCCAAAGAGAACGTTACGCAAATTATTATTTCTCTATGTGTAGATATAGTATGATGATGTTTGTGAATGGAACTTCCGTTGTGAGCACACCGTTCACACACACACACACACACTTTTTTCCTCTCATAAAAACTCAAAACATTCTCGATTCTCAAGTCTTTATATACAAATCACATCGTTTTGTTTTAATAAAATGATCGGAAAAAAAATAATACAAAAATTTTATAATTTTATAATTTTTTTTTTAAATTTGTTTCCATCAAAATTTATTATCATCAATTTAAATAATGACTAATCGATAATGTCTCAATTAAATTGAATCGAATTGAAAAAGTTATTTTCAATGATCTAGCAAAAAAAATTGAAAAAAAACAATGCATCATTAACATTCATTAAATTTTTCGTGGCAATTTGTTTAAAGAAATTTTTTTTTGCTATAGCGACACATTCGAATATATATTCAACTACACGAAGTGACACCTTAAAAAAACACATTCGCATATATTCAACTTCACGAAGTGATAGTTTACATAAACACATTTGCATACATACTACTGGGTGAAAAGCCTCACAAATGCAATCGTTGCGAATATTCAAAGATTCCATTTGACAAGACATGTCAAAAAATATTAAAAAAAACACCAAAACAGGTAAGCAATTTATTATTATTGACCACAAGAATTTATTGTTCNNNNAACAACATAAAATGCAATCGTTGCGAATATTCAAAGATTCCATTTGACAAGACATGTCAAAAAATATTAAAAAAACACCAAAACAGGTAAGCAATTTATTATTATTGACCACAAGAATTTATTGTTCCATTAAACTAATGTTTTATTATTATTATTATTTTTTTTTTATTATTGAAAAACATAAACAGCGTTAATTGAAATTTCGTCTATAATGATTAGATCGAATGTCTGATCAATTCGAAATGAGATTCAATGATCTAACAACAAGAATTGAAAAAATTGAAAAAAACAACATAAAATGCAATCGTTGCGAATATTCAAAGATTCCATTTGACAAGACATGTCAAAAAATAT